TGCCCCCTGGTGAGAGCTACTGGCCACACATTAAAAAAAAAAACTTAAGACGTGGGGAGGAAAATCACCGGAGGGGACGAAACGCAAGAAATAAAACTTTTCTCGAACTCTCTCGCAAGCAAATTTGGCTTGTTTGCTGTTCTTCCTTTGTGCTTCCGTCCCGCTAAATCAAAAGCTCCTTTCTTTCCAGAAAGACACATTTATCAGCTCCCCTCTGGTGTTTTTTGTTTTTTTTCCAGGAATTTCCTATATAGCTGCTGATTTACTGTTTGGCAACAAAAATCCTTCGGGTCCCATTCAGCCCTATTCTTGGCCCGGCTTCTATTATTTTTTTTTTGCCAGTGAAGACAGACTGATCTTCCATCTGCTTCAAGGAGTCGAAGAAATAGGTTGCTTTCTGAAGGACCACCAAGGCGCTGAATCTTTCTTATTAGAATAGAATAGAATAACAGAGTTGGAAGGGACCTTGGAGGTCTTCTAGTCCAACCCACTGCTTAGGCAGGAAACCCTGCACCACTTCAGACAAATGTTATCCAATCTCGTCTTAAAAACCTCCAGTGTTGGAGCATTCACAACTTCTGAGGGCAAGTTTTGTTCTACTGATTAATTGTTCTAACTGTCAGAAAATTTCTCCTTAGTTCTAGGTCGCTTCTCTCCTTGATTAATATCCATCCGTGGCTTCTTGTCCTGCCCTCAGGTGCTTTGGAGAATAGCTTGACCCCCTCTTCTTTGTGGCAACCCCTCAGATATTGGACCACTGCTATCATGCCACCCCTAGTCCTTCTCTTCTCTAGACTAGACATACCCAGTTCCTGCAACCGTTCATCATATGATTTAGCCTCCAGTCCCCTAATCCTCTGTTGTAGTTCTTCTCTGCACTCTTTCTAGAGTCTCAACATCTTTTTTACATCGTGGAGACCAAAACTGGATGCAGTATTCCAAGTGTGGCCTTACCAAGGCATTATAAAGTGGTATTAACACTTCACGTGATCTTGATTCTATCCCTGTTAATGCAGCCTAGGACTGCATTAGCTTTTTTTGGCAGCTGCAGCACACAGCTGGCTCATATTTAAATGGTTGTCCACTAAAGGGGTTATTTTTTTTTTTTTCAGATTTATTCTGAACTAGCTGGGTACCCGTGCTTCACTATGAAACTATGTGGTCGGGCTTAGTTTTTGGGGAGGAAAATAAGGAGAGAAGAAATTGTACCTCTGCCTACCAGCATCCATCGGTATTCATCTGGCTAGCGTCATGTCAACGTGTGAGAGAGCTGAGGACTGTTTGGAAACTGAAACTGTATTTGCTGTGTGAGCAAGAAGGAGACAGCAAGGAGCCTGGTTTAGCTCAACTGTTCTGTACTAAAGCTGCTTGCTGCTGTGAAACTGAAACTGAAACTGTAACTCCTCTCCTCTGCTTTTGTTTTGCATTTGGAACAGATTTCTTTTCAGGTGGGGAGGGGGAATAGAACTCCTTAGCATCAGAGCATGTTAATAATAATAATATAGGGAATACTCTAAATGCTCTGATAGTCATTTTGAAAAATCCTTTCTTAGTGAGCACCTAGAAGCCAAGAGGAACCTACGTGCCGAATTTCAAGCTTGTAGGCTTTACGGTTCTGGAGATTTTGTGATGATGCATGAGTGTCATTTCGCTTTTTTATATATATAGATGAGCAGGGGGTTGGGACTAGAAGACCTCCAAGGAGTCTTCCAATTCTGTTATTCTGGTTTATTCTCCAAAGCACCAGAGGGCAGGACAAGAAGCAACGGATGGAAACTAATCAAGGGGAGAAGCAACCTAGAATTAAGGAGAACTTTTCTGTCAGTGAGAACAATTAATCAATGGAACGACTTGCCTGCAGAAGTTGTGGGTGCTCCATCACTTGAGGCCTTTCAGAAGAGATTGGACATTTGTCTGAAATGGTGTAGAGGTTCTTGCTTGAGTAGGGGGGGGGGGGTTGGACTACAAGACCTCCAAAGGTCCCTTCCAGCACCATTATTCTGATGGTGGGCGATCAGCTCATTTTCCCAGAGTGGGGCAGAAACTCTCAGTGCAATTCAAGCTTTTTAGCTCCAGCTGGACAGTCTCGTTTCCCCAGAAGTGGCTCAAATCCTAATCCAGCTCCCCCCCCACCCTAATTCCCCCTTCACCGCCCACCCATTGTGTTGGCCTTGGCCATGGGAACAAGCCGTGCCACGTCTTGGCAGGACTTCCAAGGAGTCTCCGGGTACGCATTTGAATGTTTGTCAACGGGAGTCAGCTGTTGCCACGCCTTCCCTCCCCCTCCGGAGAATATGTCCCCCCCCCTTCCCGTTTACTCCATTGTCTCGCTTTGCAAAAACCGCAGGAGACCTGGGGGGGTATCACAGTTAGTTGCCTAGTTACAGAAGGAAGGTGTGGATGGTGCTAGAGAAGGAAGGAAAAGGAAGGAAGATTTGACATACGCAGAACCGTTTTTGCAAAAATTCCTCTCCAATCTGACCATCTAGAAACACGATAATTTGGATTTAGCAGGGAGACTGTTTTGCAAACGGTCCTAGACCTTTGCCCCCAAACTCCTTTTTATGGATTGTGGATGTTTAATGTTCTTTTTTTAAAAAAAAAAAAATCTGCTTTTTTTTCTTGTTTTACGAATCACGGTTTGAATGTTTTTCAAGGTTTTTACATCGTAAGCCAGCCATAGTCGTTGGATACGAGACAGGCGGCCAATAAATTCCATGAGCCGCAGTGGCGCAGTGGCTAGAGTGCAGTACTACAGGCTACTTCTGCCGACTGCCGGCTGCCTGCAATTTGGTAGTTCAAATCTAATCAGGCTCCAGGTTGACTCAACCTTCCGTCCTTCTGAGGTGGGTCAAATGAGGACCCAAAATTGTTGGGGGAAATTATGCTGGCTCTGTAAACCACTTAGAGGGGGCTGTAAAAACACTGTGAAGCAGTATATTAAGTCGAAGTCCTTCCTTCCTCCTCTCTCCCTCCCTCCTTTCATGTTTCCTCCCTTCCTTCTTTGAGCCATGGTGGTTCAGTGGTTAGAGTGCAGAACTGCAGGCTACTTCTGCTGCCTGCCGGCTGCCTGCAATTTGGCAGTTTGAATCTCACCAGCCTCAAGGTTGACTCAGCCTTCCATCCTTCCGAGGTGGGTCAAATGAGGAGCCAGATTGTTGGGGGCAAGAGGCTGACTCTGTAAACCGCTTAGAGTACTGTGAAGTTGGTATATAAGTCTAAGTGCTATTGCTAATGCTATAAACGAATAAAAACTCTACAGGAGATGGCAGGAGATGGAATCCTACGCCAAAATCCTATAGGGTGTGCCCCGGAGAAAGGAGATTTATTCTGGATTCAGTCAATTTGTCTATGGAGATTCTCCGTCATCCAGGTCATTGTTGTCCTTTTCCAAGACTGGACTTTCTGGTTTCTCTTTGAAGACGTTTCACTCCTCCTCTAAGAAGCTTCTTCAGCTCATCCAAGAAGCTTCTTCAGAGCTGAAGAAGAAGCTCCTTGGATGAGGAGCGAAACATCTTCCAAGAAAGTCCAGTTGCCTCTTGAGAAATCTTTGGGATTCACTCGATGGTAAGATTTGCATTTGACACAGAAAATTATTAAAAAGTGTGGGGGGGAGAGGAGCCTTGGCAGCAAGAAAGGATACAGTTCAGTTTACATTTTTGTTCAGTGAAACAAGAACAGGAGACAGCTTTTATTTTATTTCTCCCACCCGCTTTTCAAAAAAAAAAAAAAAAAAACCAACCACTTCTATTTTATTCTTTTTTTCTTAAAAAAAACACACAAACAAAACCACACACACACACACACCAGGAAAAGTCAAGTAGGACAGAGTGACCTCACTTCCATCATCAGGACATTCTTTATATAGAAAGAAATACCATACTATTTAAACCTTCTGGTTTTGTTCTGTTTTGTTTTCCCTTTTGAGTTCCAAATTTACAGATACAAGGTCTAGATATCTACAGGACACAACGCACCAAAAGAGAGAAATGGCAACAAGAATGACAGTGACAATGAAACAAAACCCAAGACAAAATGAGTGCAGACGACTCGAACATACCTCTACGGTTGGTCTGGTCCTTCTTTTATCCGTATGGACAAACCTCAAAAACAAATGCTGAAATGGGCTCTACTTATAGAAAAGCTACGATAGATCAGTTTTATTTTCAAAAATATCTTTCTTCCATCGGGGTCTCCTCGTAGCCCAGACTAAAAAGCTGGACTAACACATACAGTACGTTCTCCAAAATACACACCTTTTTTTTTTTGAATTTTATATTCTCTGTTCCTTAAACCCAAATGCACTTGGCACACACATACAGGTATATATATATATATATGTATATATTTATATAGGTATATATATTAGCTAACAACTACTCTTCAACTTTACACCCTGCCTCTCCCCCTCACCCCACGCCCTGTTGCTAAGTTGTTTGATTCCACAGGGGGGAAAAAATCTGGAGAATGTTTAATGCACTTTTAAATTAACTCGGTTCTCTTCCCTGTACCAATAAGAAGAACGTGCCCTGTGTTTTGTTTGTTGGTTTTTTTTTCCTGCAAATGTAATTTACCCAAATGGAGGGGAGGACTATTAAGAGACACTGTAGCACCTCTGAGGAGTTTTAAATAGTTTTTACTCATATATATATATATATATGTATATATATAATTACAACTTCTTTAAAAAATAAAAGAGCACCAAATATTTTCACAGTGAGAGGTAGAATCAAATTGAAAAGGCTTGTCCCTCTCCCTCTCTCTCTCTCTCTTTCTCTCTCTCTCTTTTGTTTTCTCTCTTTCATTTTCTCTTTCTACAATGTAGCACCAAAGTTTGTTCACCCCTTTCCACTTTGGTGGGGGACATATCTCCCCTTACCACCCTACATCGAAAGGACTGTGGGTTTTTTTTTTCATTTCCAAAAAGAAGAAGAATCTCGCCAGCTTTTATTTAGATTCTTTTTCTTTTGCCTTAAATAATATATATCTATATATTTTTTTCTCTCTCTCTTTCTCCTCTCTCTGTTTAATATTGCACATCAAAATCCTTCCTGTTCCAGAACAGTGAGCAGATTGAAAAATAATCTCAACATAAGAAGATGGCAACATTGATTTTTTTCCCCTGTCTTGTCCAGCAAAACCTTAAAAAAAGGAAAAAGGACCTGGGTTCCGGAATGTTACGCTTGGTGACCCAAAAACTGCATGAATGATTTGGGTTTTCTGCAAGCAACTTTTTTTTTTCTTTCCTCCTTTGGCTGAAGGGAAAGAGTCCAACCATGTGTGGAGAATATGTCTACTTCAACTGGCCTTCTCTGAAGTCGCTTCAGTCCCCTGGGTTCTTCCAAACCTTTTCTCCCCATGTCGAGATGGAGCGGCTGATGGATCTGCAAAGGCTTTCCCATTTGACATGGTCCCAGTGCTGAAGGCCCAGATCTTGGCTCCAGGTGGCCAAGTCTCTTGGCCAAAGACGCAGCCTTTCTTCTGAAAGAAGCCAATGGGTGGAGCACCAAGAAAGTTGACTTCTAGAGGAAACACACTGGCCCAACCTCAAGGAAATATTCCTTCCCTGGTTTGCTTGGTGGAAGGTTATAGATGCCCACAATTGGCAACCGTTGGATGTCGTACGTCCGGAAGGTAAAGAGAGCGTGATGCCACTGACTGTCTTGAATCTGGTTGAAGAGGAAACCTGAGGGTTACACCCTGCAACCACCCGTGGCTGGAGATAGGAAGACCCAACCGCCCCAAAGGAGGGGGGAATGGAAAATCCATCACAAAGCCTCTTTATTTGCCCCGCCGCCACCACCAAATGTTTCCTTCTGCCTCCAAATGGATCATCAAACCCAGTCAACCCAACTCTTCCCTTGAGGCATAAATGATCAGGCTCAAATTATCCAACGTTGGGCAACATTTATGCAAAAAGCCGGTTCTCTGGAGAAGGAGCTAACTCTGGGAATGGTGGAAGGAAAGAGATGAAAAGGATGGCCAACAGGAAAGGTGAAGGAACTCAATAATGGTGGTCATGGGGCCAGCTTTGGAAGACCTGCAAGACCAGGTTAGGGACATATTGTCCTTGAAAAACTCCATTTCTGTGGTTACTAGGAGTCAAAAATGATGGCACATAATCTGTCCATCCATCCATCAATCCATGCATCCATCCATCCATCCATGCATCTCTCTATCCATCCATCCATCCGTGCATCAATCTATGTATCTCTCTATACATACATACATACATACATACATACATACATACATACTGTACATACATACATACATACATACATACATACATACATACATACATGCATGCATCTCTCCATCCATCCATCCATGCATCAATCTATGCATCTCTCCATCCATCCATCCATCCATCCATCCATACTGTACATACATACATATATGCATCTCTCCATCCATCCATTTCTCTATCATCCATCCATCCATGCATCAATCTATGCATCTCTCTATCCATCCATCCATACATACATACATACATACTGTACATACATACATACATATATCCATCTCTCTATCCATCCGTCCATCCATCCATCCGAAGTTCCATCATGGACATCCATGAGAAGACTAAGATGGTAACTACAATAATCCAAGACCTGACCCTGAGTTCCATTTTAAATTTCTTGGCAGCCTAATGTTCTGACCTAGGCTTCCCAAAATCATGAAGCAGATTCCTCGTTCCGACATTCTCTCATGACTGTGGGGATGCTGCAACCGTTGTAAGTGTGAAAAACGGTCATGTCACTTTTTTCAGTGCCATTGTAACTTTGAATGGTCATTCCACACAAGCAAAGTACCAGCAAAGGAGGGCGAAAAAACTCCAGAGATGTTCCTGAGACAGGAAGTCTAGTCCTGCCAAGAATGTAATAAGGGTTAACGGAGAGGCAGTTTCTGTAAGCAACACCAGAATGTTTCCTTCCTGCCTTCCTTACAGGATTAGTCCAGTAATTTCTTCTAACAACCGGTTCTCTGAACTGCTTAGAATGTTAACAACCGGTTCTAGCGAATAGGTGTGAACTGGTAGAATCCCACCCCTGAAAATAGATGCAAAGAGGGATGATCTCTTGCATCATATATCCAGTTTCAATTTTAGAGCTCAGCTGCATTCAATTCATTCAAACTATCAGCAGGGGGAGCTTTTGCTTTGATGAAAAAGTCTCCCCTCCAATGCTTGGTAGCCGAGATAGACAACCGGAAGCCTTGGAGATTCTGCCTATGGAGATTCTCAGTCATTCAGCTCATGGTTGTCCCAAAGGGGCTTTCTTTCAAAAGGCAACTGGACTTTTCTGGTTTTGTTTTTTCGTTGAATAAATTTCGCTTCTCATCCAAGAACCTTCTTTGGTTCTGCTTCAGTTCTTCAGAACCGAAGAAGCTTCTTGGATGAGAAGCACAATGTTTCCAAAGAAAAAACAAAACAAGAAAAGTGCAGTTGCTTTTTGGAAAAAGTGCCTTTGGGAAAAGAGGAGGAGGAGGAGGAGGAGGAGGAAGAGGAAGAAGAAGAGGAGGAGGAGGAGGAGGAGGAGGATCCTTCCATTCCCCACCATCCAGTCAGAGCTGAAGAAGCTTCTCGGATGAGAAGCTCAACGTCTTCAAAGAAAAAACAAACAAGAAAGTCCAGCTGCCTTTTGAAAAAGCACCTTGGGGAAAAGAGGAGGAGGAGGAGATGAAGACGGAGGAGGAGGAGGAAAAGGAGGACGAGGAAAAGGAGGAGGAGGAGGAAAAGGAGGAGGAAGAGAAAGAGAAGGAGGAGGAGGAGGAAAAGGAGGAGGAGGAGGAAAAGGAGGAGGAAGAGAAAGAGAAGGAAAAGGAGGAGGAGGAGGAGGAGGAGGAGGAAGAAGAAGAGGAAGAGGAAGAGGAAGAGGAAGAGAAGGAAAAGGAGGAAGAGGAAAAGATCATCCTTTCATTCCCCACCATCCAGTCATTCCCCACCATCCAGCTTCTTGGATGTTTTCAAATAAAAACAAGAAAGTACAGTTGCCTCTTGAAAAAAAAAAAAAGCACATTTGGGACAAGCCTTGTAGATGTTTTACCTTTTTTTCAGTGCTCACAATTTTTCTTTTGCAAGGAGTCAGGGTGACTTGGTTTCATCAGGATTTGAACCTGAGCAGCCTACCTCTACCCTGGATAATAAAACAACTCAAAGACGAAAACACCTTCCACATGGCCGTAGTTTGGGGAAGGAGACCTTTCAAGGGTAGATATTTCTAGATCTTGATGATGAAATCGCAGTATCTTCTCCATGGGGGGGGGGGGGGGAGCAGCCAACCCTTCCAACTCTTTTTTTCCCCCAGAGGATTGCCATACCTTACAATGGTTCACCACAACATCCGGCGTGAGCTGCCCTCCCCGTTCGAAGAGCTGCCCGTTCCAGGCCTTGAAGCTTACAGAGGCCCCTTCGGACGGTCCTTCCGGCCAAACCGACATGTTCAAGCAATGGATAGTGATGTTCTGAACGACTTCAGAGCTCAAGAGGTGAAGGAAATTCATTTGTACTCTTCCAATATCGAAGTCCAGCTAGACAAGGGGACGTACAAAAGTTTGGGATAAAGGTTGGACTCAACGTTCTGGCTAGGAGAAACATCTTGAGACCTTCATGCCTAAACCAACTTATAACCATTCTAGAGACCTTCAACTACACCCAAGCAGCCATGCACCGGAAATGTATAAAACTACAAAGGAGGGAAAAAAATCTTAATATTTTTGGACTATCCAGTGGTCAGATAAACATTGATTTGCACTTATGAGCCATGGTGGTGCAGTGGTTAGAGCGCAGCACGGCAGGCTACTTCTGCTGACTGCCGGCTGTCTACAATTTGTCATTTTGAATCTCACCAGGCTCAAGTTGGACTCAGCCTTCCGTCCTTCCAAGGTGGGTAAAATGAGGACCCAGATTATTGGGGGCAAGAGGCTGACTCCGTAAACCACTTAGAGAGGGCTGGCTGGAAAGCTCTGTGACGTGGTACATAAGTCTATTGCAGAGGTGGGTCTTCAGCAGGTTCTGGCCAGTTCTGGAGAACCAGTAGTGGAAATTTTGAGTCGTTTGGAGAACCGGTCAATCCCACCTCTGACTGGCCCCGCTAACCCCATCTCTTCTCTGCCTCCCATTGAGTCCCAACTGATCGGCTGGGTCTCCTTTGGTTGCCCTGCACAGCAGAACGGAGCTGCAAAGCAGGTTAGTGGGGTGGGGAGGGAAGGGGGATTTTGCAGTATCCTTCCCCCAGGAGAAGGTTCCCTATCCTTCCCCTGCCACGCCCACCAAGCCACGCCCACCAAGCCATGCCCACCAAGCCACGCCCACCAAGCCGTGCCCACAGAACTGGTAGTAAAATATTTTGAATCCCACCACTGGTCTATTGTTATTGCTATGGACAGATAAGCATGGATTTGCACTAAGAGTCATCCTTCCCATGGACAAAGTAACTTCCTGCAGCCAACCTTGGTAATGTCTCTATTTTTATGAATGAATCTGGCTGCTTTAACTACAAGACCCATTCACAGAAACAGAGACATTACTTACTGCTTCGAACGAGAGATGACATGGCTGAAATTCTGGACAATAATAACATGGGCCAGCAGAATCTCAAATTCTCAACCCCAATTCTATTTAAACAGGAAGAGAGAGAGAGAAAGAAAGAGATAAAGAGACAGACAGAGAGAAGGAGAGAGACAAAGAGAAAGAGAGAGAGACAGAAAGAGAAAGAGAGAGAGAGAAAATAAAAAATTGCTCTGCTTATTCACAAATCGTTTTGCTCCAGGCTAGATGTTGCCTGAGGTTACCCATGAAAAGAACGCCTCATTTTTCAACTGAGCCAAAATACCACTTTTTTTTAATGTCACTAGCTACTTATTCCTTTCCAGGTTCAGCTTAAGACAGAGCTTCTTATTTTTAAAAGCTTAAACAATTGGAACGTGGTACTTAACAACAAGGATAAGCAGGAACGTGTCAGCCATGTGGGCATTGAAGAACGTGCCCGGCTCCCTATCCGCCTGTTTTTAATTTTTTAATTTTTTGCAAAAGATTTTATTGGGATTGAAAAAAATGAGAAACGGTGCAGCCAAGCCCTAGATACATTATCTGCCTTTCCAAGAACTTCTCTGTGCCCCACGTAGAACCACGAGGCATTTTCAGGAAATTAAAAAATGTCCTTGTTTTTAGAGTTGTTCCATGGGCTGCATGTGAAATGTGTCATATTCCAGTGGTTTTTGCTAGAAATGCCGTGTGCCTTTAATGTACCTTTGATGTTGTGATAGGGTTGAGGCAGGTTTGACCTCCTTGGGCAAAGTTGCAGGTGACCTGAATGCTGTCTGAAGAACAGCCAAGATTTGGGTCCATCCAGTACACACCTGAAGGAAGAAGAAGAAGAGAGGAATAACGCGCGAGGCCAGATGCAGTTATAATGGTATCTTTGAGATATGCAGAAATTACATATTATAAGTTACACCTGTGAAAATGAAGAACAGAAGGGAAGCCATACTTATCCAACACTTGAACAAAGAAATGGTTACTGGACAGTTATATAACTATATCTAATAAACACGTACTGTTTTGTAACTTGTTACGTTCTAAAGGAAATATCAGGCTTCTGGCTACAACATGGGCCTGTATTTTTGGGCATAAGGATATGTATAGGAGATACTAGGTTATCCTGACCCGAAAGGAACTGGTTAATGACCTATTGTATTACGGATGGTCATAACAGGACCATAACAGGAAGAAGAAGCCATGAGAACTTTGTCAAAGTTCTGGAGAAGAACAGTATGGAAGCTACCAGACACCCAAGATTAGACCTCTTGTCCTCCAACTATTATCAGCGTCCTTTAATCTTTTGCAGTGGGTCATAATCATTGTTGGGTACTCCATCATTGGAAGCTTTTAAGAAGATACTGGACTACCACTTGTCTGGAATGGTGTAAGGCAGGGGTCTTCAAACTGGACAGCTTTAAGACTTGTGGACTTCAACTCCCAGAATTCTTCCTCCAGTCTTGTTAGCTCAGAAATTCTGGGAATTGAAGTCCACAAGTCTTAAACTTGACAAGTTTGAAGACCCTTGGCATAGGATCTCCTGCTTGAACAAGACATTGGAGTATCAGACCTCTGTGGTCCCTTTCAACTCTGTTATTCTGTACAGAGAAGGTCCAGCAATCTAGAATCTCAACTCCAGAATGATTTTGCCCATCCTGTCTGATCATCTAGAGAAGATGACTCATCCCATGTAAAGAGGGAGGTGGCAGACTAGAACATTGTGGAATAGGTTGATCCTGGAGATCTGATGGTCCTGCTGTTCCTGGCTTTTAGCCTAGTCAATCTTTTCTTGAGATGGGCCTTTGATTACACTGACACCTTGTAAAGAAGGGACAAATGGCCATCTTACACAACTCTTTTGTTGTTCTTTTCTCTACTGTTTGGTTCTCTTTTTTTGTTCAGTTTATCGGGTGATACATTGAGATTCTTCCATTTGTTGCCAAGAGTTGGGCAGAAAGTTCACGAAGGAATGAAATCTAGACCTTAGGGCTTTGTTCAGCTTTGGCCCAAATAGGTGCAAATCTAGATACCCCATGAAATCCATCCTCCTCCTCCTCCTCCTCCTCCTCCTCTTTAAGGCATCACGAGTGATGTAGATCTTGGAGGACATTTATTTACATGTTGTCCATCCTGGAGCAGATGAAGTCTTACCATCCTGCATCTTTTGTTCACAGTTCATGAGGTCTTTACAAATACGGGTAGGGTTTTCCTTGGTCCCCATGGGTCTCTTGATGCTCTGGATGAGGACACTGAGGTAGTGCAGGGTCTTGAAGATCTCCCCTTCTTGATCCATCGCCGGAAGATCCATCTGTTCGTAGCTCTGCCAGGAAAGAGAGAAGACGCGGATGAATTCCTTACAGTGGTCAATTCTTTTTCCCATAAGTCCTTCAGATAATTTTCCTTTAAGAAGCTTTTATGGGTTACCTCAGACCTGAAGGCAGCGCTGGCAGTCAACATGGAGTGGAAAGCTGCATCGAAGTCATCTTGCCCCTGGATTAGAGGAGAAAAGACATAGTTATGGTAGACTAGAAGGAAAAAGTCCATGCAGATAGAATATGGGCACTGACAAGATTAATCATGGAATCTCCAAGATGGATGTTTAAGTGAAATAAGAACCACACAGTCTCACGGACTAAGGTATATGAAGAATGGTTACAGGAACTGGGCTTGGCTAGTCTAGGGAAGAGAAGGACCAGGGGAGACAGGATAGCATCTTCCAAAATTTGAGGGGCTGCCACAGAGAGGAGGAAGGGGTCAAGCTATTTTCTAAAGCGCTTGTAGGCCAGACAAGGAATAATGGATGGAAACTGAACAAGGAGACATTCAACCTGGAAATAAGGAGAAACTTTCTGACAGTGAGAACAATCAACTGATGGAACAGAAGTTGCCTTCGGAAGTTGTAGGAGTTTCATCCCTGGAGGCTTCCAAGAAGAAACTGGACTGCCATTTGTCAGAAATGGTGTAGGGTCTCCTGCTTGGGCAGGGGGTTGGACTAGATGACCTATAAGGTCCCTTCCAACTCTGATTATCTGTTATTTATTATCTTGTAACCCAATCACCCAAAGGTTTCATGGTTTCATTTGGGGGGAGGGGTTGCAACAAACATCCCAAACTTGCAGAGTTCTAAGGCCAATGAGGATTCAGAAAACTTACAAATGCAGCTTCAATTCCTGGTGGGCCCTGTAAAGTTAAAGAGACAAAACATGAAGCCTTAAGCAAGATAAAATTCTTGGCCGTTGATGGACGTGGAAGACTAGGAGGAACAGGGAGAGGTCAAGGTAGAAAGCTGTCTGTCTGATGCTTTAGATCAGGGGTCTTCAAACTTGACAGCTTTAAGGCTTGTGGACGTCAACTCCTAGAATTCCTCCCCAAGTCATGTTAGCTCAGGAATTCTGGGAATTGAAGTCCACCAGTCTTAAACTTGCCAAATTTGAAGACCCTTGCTTTAGATTGTAAAGAAAGAACATGAGCCTCGGTGGTGCAGTGGTTAGAGTGCAGTACTGCAGGCTACTTCTGCTGACTGCCGGTTGCCTGCAATTTGGCAGTTCGAACCTCACCAGGCTCAAGGTTGACTCAGCCTTCCGTCCTTCCGAGGTGGGTAAAAGGGGGACCCAGATTATTGGGGGCAAGAGGCTGACTCTGTAAACCGCTTAGAGAGGGCTGTAAAACACTGTGAAGCGGTATATAAGTCTATAAGCTTTTGCTATCTCTTGCATTTGGGTTCCACAGGGGGTGGGGGGGAAACCAGGGTCAAGGGTGACAATGAATTATGTGTCTCGGAGTCGGCTTCACCCAGGCAGTGCCGGATATGTTAACTCCCAATAGATCCTTTTGAAGTTTTGGAAGTTTGGCTCAAGACTTAATTGGGGTGACTGCCAGAATTCTGACACCAGTAGCAGAAAAGTTTGGGCCATCATTGTGTGCTTTTGAAGACAAACACAACAAAAACCCACATCATATTTTAAATACATACCGGGGGGCCTGGAGGTCCTCGGGGGCCTGCGATACCCTAGGAAGACAAGAGTCAAGATAAACCACAATTGATCCTTCACAACCTGAACTGTCAGGGGCTGAACTGGAGATGCAAAACACCACCGTGTATGGGGGGAGGGGGAACCTCTTTTCCAAAGGTCTCTTCCTCTTTTACACACACACACACACACACACACACACACACACACACACACACACTTTCTTCTCTGTCCCAAAGTTGCTTTCTTTCAAAAGGCAACTGGACTTTCTTCTTTTGCTTGAAGACATTTCGCTTCTCCTCTAAGAAGCTTCATCATTTCCGACTGAATGGTAAGGAACGGAAGGATTTATATATTCCTTGCAGTCATCTGGTCATTGGCAGTCTTTCTGAGCATCGTTGAGGCCACTTGGAGGTTCATCTGTGCCCTCAGGGTCACCTGAATCCTGTAGTCCAGTTGCCTTTTGAAAGAAAGCCCCTTTGAGACAACCATGACCTGGATGACTGAGAATTTCCATAGACATTTAGCTGTTCATCAGAGTTGAAGAAGCTTCTTGGATGAGAAGCAAAACCTCTTCAAAGAAAAACCAAGGAAGTCCAGTTGCCTTTGGAAAGAAATACTTTTTCTTCACTGGCTTCCAAGGGCTCTTGTCATCTCGGCACTTGCACCTGTGATTCTCTTGCCTGGACTAAAATGTTGCATTCTATTCTTTTAAGCAAATTCCACATTTTTAACCCGGACATGACCATTCTTAATTTACACTGCACAAAGGCCAAATCAGAACCATCTGATTCAACCTTGAAGCTCTGTGTGGACTTTGTACTCCGGTTGGTTTTTTATAGTTCATTTGGCACTTTAGTTGTTGGCAATCATTCAAAGGAGAGAAAGGTGGGTGCTTATCTTGAGGGATTGTTTGGACTAAGTGTGTGCTTAATTACGGTCTCTGGAAGCTTTGGTCAGAGCATTGATATCTATCTATCTATCTATCTATCTATATTCGGGTTTTATCCCGCGTAAGATTGGAAGTATCTAGGCAACGTTTCGATGAAGTCTCATTCATCATCTTCAGGCTTGTGTCTTCAGCTCTGTGCTTCTCACTCTGAGAAGCACAGAGCTGAAGACACAAGCCTGAAGATGATGAATGAGACTTCATCGAAACGTTGCCTAGATACTTCCAATCTTACGCGGGAGAAAACCCGAATAACCAAAGTTCCACATACAAATACCCACGAGAACCTCAGAAAACATACATACATACATACATACATACATACATACATACATATATATATATATATATATATATATATATATATATATATATATATGTGTGTGTGTGTGTGTGTGTGTGTCTGTCTGTCTGTCTGTCTGTCTGTCTGTCTGTCTGTCTGTCTGTGTCTGTGTGTCTATGTATGAAAATCACCGCAGCTGGATCACTGCAAAGATTGTAAAAGTGATATAAAATGATGAAATATGTTTAATGAAAATATTTTTTTTAAAAAACCCAAAACCAGGTGAAGAGTTTTCAAGTCTTGGGGTGGAAGGAGCAGTGTTGATGGGACAACACAGCCATACTTACCCTTGGACCTTGGAGACCCTGAAAAAGGAAATGAAGAAGGGGGTGAAAACAGGTCCTTTCCCAGAAGAGGTGAGACTGAAGGGTCTGAAAGTAATTTTACACCCATGGAACAGAAGGGACAACACTCACCGCTTCACCTTGGCTGCCTTTCTCTCCTTTAGGACCCTGGGGGGAGGGGGGGAAAGGTGACAAAAGGCACACCTGTTAAACGTGTAAGACACCTGCAACATTCCAATATAATGAAAAGCTCCAAAGTCAGTGAAGCCTGTGTGAATCAGCCCTGCGTGTGAGAGAGAGAGAGAATGGCTTGCCTGCACTGGAGGTTTTTAAGAAGACATTGGGGGAACCCTTTTGTCTGAAATGGGATAGGGTCTCCTGCTTGAGCAGGGGGTTGGACTAGAAGACCTCCAAGGTCCCTTCCAATTCTAATGTTCTGTTATTCCGCTAGACACACCCAGCTCCTTCAACTGCTCATAATACAATTTAGCCTCCAGTCCAGACCCTTTAATATCTTCGTTGCTCTTCCCTGCACACTTTTCTCTTTTCTGTATTCTTCCGACGCCAATTGCAGGAATTGGGTATGTCTAGTTTAATGAAAAGAAGGACTGGGGACGACACGATAACAGGATTCCAATATTTGAGGGGCCACCATGAAGAAGAGGGGGGGGACCCAACGTATTTTCCAAAGCACCAGAAGGCAGGAGAAGAAACAATGGACGGAAATTAATCAAGGAGAGAAGTAACCTGGGATTAAGGAGACACTTCCTAACAGTGAGGACAATTAACCAGTGGAACGACTTGCCACCAGAAGTTGTGTGTGCTTCATCACTGGAGGTTTTTAAGAAGAGACTGGACAGTCACTTGTCTGAGATGGTAGAGGGTCTCCTGCTCAAACAGGGGTTGGATTAGAAGACCTCCAAGGTCCCCTCACTGCCCAAGGAGCTGCTGATCCAATTCTACAGAGGAATTATTGAGCCTATCATCTGCACCTCTATAACTGTCTGGTTTGGTTCTGCAACCCAACAGGGCAGACACAGACTTCAGAGGATAATTAGGAATGCAGAAAAAAACAATTGCTACCAACTTGCCTTCCATGGAGGACCTGTATCCTGCACGAGTCAAAAAGAGAGCTGTGAAAATATTTACAGACCCCTCACACCCCGGACATAAACTGTTTCAACTCCTTCCCTCAAAATGACACTATAGAGCAGGGGTCGCCAACCTTTTGGACCTCAGGGACCACCAAACTCATAATTTTAGATCCCAGGGACCACTAACTGGTTCTGTGGGTGTGGCCTAATTTGTGGGTGTGGCTTGGTGGTCATGTGACTGGCTGGGCAGGGCTTGTATGTAAATATTATAAATATTTATATAAATATTGAATTTCAAGTTGATAGACTTAAAGGGTTAAAATTGTCTAGAAAACACGGTGTGTGAAAAAGACGACCATGAGAAGAAAGCCAAGTAGGACAAGTTTGTTGACTGAGAAGGAGGGAAGATGGTGTTCCAGATGTTTGGCCTTCAGCTCACATCACCTCCTACAGCTTGGCTCAACATCAAGAGGCCGTTGCCCAAAACATCTGCCTATATCAGGTGACCATTAATTTCTTTTCTACGTGCAGGCAAAGTGAAAAACTGAGCTTTAGTTTCATGGTCTAAATGGATCGACCTTCAGACCTCAGTTCTGGAATGAAGGACCCTCAAGCTGCGTGCCATCCCAATTTTCCTGGGAATGTCTTGGGATGCTGCATCAGGACATGCACAACGGAAGATCCAAAGGCAACACAACCTAGGAAACATTGCAATAATTCGTGAAATTAAATAAATAAGAACCAGAGTTGTGGGCCTTCTGGATCATGATAGGGCTTGAAGGATATGCACCAGCTTTGAAGAGAGTCCACTTTCAAGGGGCAGAGCTGTCACGGTCTCAAGCTAAGGAACTGTGGATTTTGAGTTTTTACATGACCACATTAGGAAGAGGACATGAAGTAATGATGGCCTTAGAAAATCCCACAGCACCTTGAGAGAAAATTTGCTGATCTTAAGATGGAAGAGAAAGTGAGATACTTACAGAATTTCCTGGTGGACCTGAAATCCCAACTGGACCAATGACACCTTCTTGACCCTACGAAAACAAACAATTTGTTTAGACAATGGATAGGATATATCAACACAAGAACTTCTACTGCCCTTTCCATTTTCCTACTAGCCAGCTCCAATCCTCCTTTAGCTTTTGAGTCCAGGTGAGGTTAGAACACCACCTTGCTTTCTGACCATCAGGTGGGTATCAAAAAGCTGCCCAATGTCCAGCAGCTCATCTAAGGAATTTGGACTTTCAGATGACCCAGCAAGGGCTACCGGCCCCGAGAATAGGAGTTGCTTGTTCACCTTTTCTGGGTAGAGGTCTGAGGTGGTATTCAGCCAGTCCTGACAGGTTCTGAAGAACCAGTCATGGAAATTTTGAGTAGTTCAGAGAACCAGCAAATACCACCTCTGGTTGGCCCTGCCCCCATCTATTCGCTGCCTCCCGAGTCCCAGCTGATCAGAGTCCCGGCTGATCGGCTGGGTCTCCTATGGTTGCCCTGCACAGGAGAACGGAGCTGGAAAGCAGGTTAGTGGGGTGGGGAGGGAAGGGGGATGTTACAGTATCCTTCCCCTGCCATGCCCACCAAGCCACGCCCGCCACACCACACCCACAGAACAGGTAGTAAACCTTTTTGAATACCACCACTGATAGAGGGAATATTTATCAGGTGTTGGAGAAGGCCACCTAACTTCTAGCAAACCCACCTCTTGGACCCCTGTTACTTCCTCAGCAGACTTACCTATTCTGCTGCTGATTCTTTAGGCTTGACCCCAGCAGGTAAAACTGACTGAGTGAGGGCTTTGGTGACGTGGTAGGACAACCTGGTAGGATATGGCTAAATGTTTTGGCCTCTGAGAAGAAAGTTGTCTCCATCCTCATGACTACCAAACGGGTCAAAAACCTGGTCCTTTGGCTTCCCGGTTGGCGGAGAAGACACGGAAGTGGGGGCTGAATGCAGCTCACCATATTTTAACCGAGAAGAAACCAGCTTCTGGTTTCTTCTGAAGGTGAAGGCAAAAGGGGTGAAGGCAAGGTCCTCAACTTACCCAGAGTCCTTGGGGCCCTTTAGGTCCCTGGATACCTTTGAAGCCAAGATCTCCAGGTGGTCCCTATGGAGAGAAAGAAAGAAACACTGGGTGGAAAAAAAATCCCAGCTGAGAGCACCATCCACCACTTGGGCATCATCTCCTTTCCTATTTTTGAAAAGTAAAACCATTTCAAATAACATTAAAAAGGAGTGGTGCGGTGGCCTAGAGGGGGAGCTCTTGCCTCACAATCAGGAGGCTGTCAGTTCGATCCCAGGAAGATATTTCTCTGGGCACGATGAGAATAAAACTCTACATCGGCAACAAGGAAGGGCATCCGGCCATTAAAACGCTCGGCTAGGCTCCATTCAGTTCCCCAGACTCCACCCCACAAGGGATTACGGGATCATTAAATGAAGATGATGATTTCAAATAATATTATCCCGAAATAGGATGAACACCCTACATCCAAGTTGCAAACAATTCTGCTGTTATTTCTCTCTCTTTTTCCCTTCCTTCTGAATCGGGGCCCTGTCTCCAAACAGAAATGGAAGCTGTACAGAGGTGGTTATTCAGCAGGTTCTGACCAGTTCTGGAGAGCAGGGAGTGGAAATTTTGAGTAGGTTTTAGAATCGGCCAATACCACCTCCAACTGGCCCCGTCCCCATCTCCTCTGCCTCCCATTGAGTCCCAGCTGATCAGCTGGGTCTCCTTTGGTTGCCCTGCAGAGGAGAACGGAGCTGGAAAGCAGGTTAGTGGGGTGGGGAGGGAATGGGGATTTTGCAGTATATCCTTCCCCTGCTATGCCCACCAAGCCTCACCAAGCCAGGCCCACAGAACCGGTAGTAAAAAAAAAATGAATCCCACCACTGAAGCTGTACCCAGAGTATTTGGCAGCAAACAAACTAAGCCCATCTCGAGATGACAGGAGGTCATTCACGGGTGGTCCCACCCAACGTGGGCAGAGATCAACCATCCGCAGCTCCCGTTTTGTGAGCAGGCTCACCACTCACAGTCCACCTTGAGACACCTGGTGTAAAATACCGCTGTCTCTGAATCAAAGAACTTGGCACGACATGATCAAGGAAGACGGGGGCTCACCTTTGGGCCGAAGAATCCAGCAATCCCTGGAAATCCAGATTCCCCAAAATCTCCCTAGAAAGATTTTTTTTTTTCAAGGAGCAGGAGGAGAAACAACAAGAGATGAAGCAAAAAACAACAACAACACACACACATGAACAGTCTGAATTCCCCTGTCATCCCTTTTGTGAAATTGGCAAAGAAACCCTCCCCCCCGAAACCCAGATGGATTTTTAGCTCTCAAAACAAAGTCATCCTCTTCGCCACTTATCACAGTTTGGCTTGGAAATAGGTCCACTTGTCTCTTCCAGCTTCTGGAGGACGGTGGTTTTTTTTTTTGCTGCACTCGATGTCTTAATCTAAGCATATTTGGCAGAGGCTGGTCCTCAGGAACCAAGAAGAAGGAACCCGTGTCACTTCAGGAAATTGAATGCAGAAAAATGCTCAGATGTTTGGCAGATCTATTCTCTCTATACCTGCCCCGACTATCCCACTGGAGAAGAATTCGTTTTTCTTGGCCTGAGAGATATCTCAACCAACAAACGTCAGCAGCTGTGCCACGCATCTACTCACCGGCTGTCCTTTGGGCCCTGGATCACCGGAGGTCCCAGGGAGTCCCATTCCACCTTGAGAACCTCTTTTCCCCAATGGACCAATCTCTCCAGACAAACCTCTTTCTCCCTGAAAAAAAAAAGCCACCAAAATATTCCATCAACGTACAGAACCCAGAAGTCCTCCAGCTGCTTAAGACTGAAGTTCTTTGCCCTTTGTTTGAACCCAGATCTCCCAAAAAAAAAGAGGACAAAGACTTGGCTTCATCACCAACACCTACCTCCTTGTGAACACCTTGTAAACTCCAGGTTACATCCTTAATTTGAGACAGATGTGCCAAGAAAAGGGGCAGAAGATTCATAAGTGCCACATCCTCAGCCTGCCTCTCCAAAAATAGCATTGATGCTAAATTTAACCTGGGAAAGGGCATCTTCCCTGCTTAAAACTGGCAAGATTCGCATTACCCTTAAATCAGCTGGTTGTTCTCAACTCTGGTCGTTAGGGGGCAATGATGGTCAATTGACACATCCGTGGTTAAGTGAGGGATAATTAGATCCCGATTCACCCAGCCCCCAACTGTTCTACAACCTACTTGGCATATCTCTTTTTAGCAAGTTCCTTCTCACAAAATGTAAGTAAGAGAGGAACCAAAGGAAGAAAAAGCAGGCACCACAAGGTCTGCTTGCAGGTCCTGGACTTCGAAACCACCAGATTTGTGGACATTCACTCTGGAGCATTCCCCCAAATAGGTTGATCCTTTCTTGGAAGTTCTGGAGGTTCATCAGCGCTTCTCCAACATTGGATTTTATTTTTCCATTTGATACATTGGCGGTAAGGAGGACTCTGCGTCCTCTTTGCTGTGTGTGGGTTGACCGCTGAAACCGCTGGTTGATTTAAGGTCCTCACCCCTATAGATCTTGGCAGTAACTCAAACATAAAATACATCTTCGGACTCTCTACCAACCATCATCAAGATAACTTGAAATCTGTATGCAAGACAGGGGCATCAAAATGCCCTCAATCCGTAAAATATCACCGATATGATTCAGGTTAATACAAGCGTTCCAAGTAACAAACTCCAACACAACCATCTCCAAGACAAAACATTTTCGCAAAGTTCCATTTTATTAAAGTGGTCATATTGGCACATCTGGGAAAAACCCTAATATGAGAGTTCCAGGTTTTCCCTTCATAATTGAAAATCAAAACCCCATCCGCTGCACCCATCACGTGCCCCAATCACTGCTTGTCCCAACTGGAGACATTCAGAGGTGGTATTCAGCCAGTTCTGACCGGTTCTACAGAATCGGTGGCAGAAATTTTGAGTCGTTCGGAGAAGCAGCCAATACCGCCTCTGACTGGCCCTGCCACCATCTATTCTCTGCCTCCCATTGAGTCCTAGCTGATCAGCTGGGTCTTCTTTGGTTGCCCTGCACAGGAGAACGGAGCTGGAAAGCGGGTTAATGGGGTGGGGAGGGAAGGGGGATTTTGCAGTAACCTTCCCCCAGGAGTGGGGAGTGAATGGGGATTTTACAGTATCCTTCCCCTGCCATGCCCACCAAGCCACGCACACCAAGCCACGCACACAGAACCGGTAGTAAAAAAAAAAAATGAATCCCACCACTGGAGACATTCCTCCAACCACACCTTACTAGGTGCAGGATAACTTGTCCTTGACTCAGAAGAAGAATGTTGTTATATCTACATTTCCACCTCACTGTGAAATCCCCCCTCCCAAATTCCCGGGGAGTAAAATGTGGCAACATGGAAGCTCCCAAGTAAAATATGGCTTCCAAAGCTGGCAACCACCATCACTAACCTTTTTTAACTACCAACCATCTCCAACACCTCGACATGGAATAACTAGGTAAGTCTTTAATGAAGGCTTAAGAAACAATTGGACACCATACCCATACATGATACGTTAATGAAAATCCCAAGACATTGGATGCAGAAACTCCAGGTTGCAATTTCTTTGCTGACAAAGAACAGGTGAGACCAACCTTGAATCCAGTGGGGCCTTGTGCTCCAGGTAATCCAGGGACTCCAAGGTTCCCTCTTTTCCCTGGCATTCCCAGAGTGCCTTCTTCCCCATCCTCACCTTGTTCACCCTAATTTGGGGGAAGCAGGGAGAAAGAAGATCAGCGTAGGTAAATTTCTACGGAGATTCTCAGTCGTCCAGGTCACGGTTGTCCCAAAGATGTTTTTTTCAAAAGGCAACTGGACTTCCTTTGTTCTTCCTTTTTTTTCCAGAGCTGAAGAAGCTTCTTGGATGAGAAGCAAAACGTCTTCAAAGAAAACAACCCAGAAAGTCAAGTTGCCTCTTGAAAAAGAAACTTGGGTCAACCATGATTTGGATGACTGAGAATCTCCATAGACATTAATGTCATCTTTCATATCTACAGAGATACTTGGAGATAAACCTCCAAGAGGCCTCAATGACCCTCTAAAAGAGTGCAAATGACCAGCTGTCTGCAAGGAGGATAAATCCTTCCACTCCCCACCACCATCCAGTCAGAGCTGAAGAAGCTTCTTGGATGAGAAGTGAAAGAAAAACCAGAAAGTCCAGTTGCCTCTTGAAAAAGCACCTTTGGGACAAACAGCGTACATACTTATTCATCATACTGGGTCTGATTCTTATCAACAAATTGTTATAGTGATAAATCATAACGGATGTAGGTGGTTGTATCAGTACCGTCCATGCTTCTAGGAGCAGCCTTCCAAAATCTTTTACTTACTTTTTGCCCACGGTTGCCATCTTTTCCAGGAATCCCATCAACTCCAGAAGTGCCCTCTTGTCCTTCTCGCCCAATGACCCCTTGGGGGCCTGGCAGGCCAAGAGAACCCTAGAAGAACAGCCTTGGTTACAGATCGGACATGGGTCGGCAGTGTGAAACAAGGTCAACACAATATAAAGCTTCTGAACACACTGAACTCCACTTTAGTCTACGCTGGTCTACTATAGCACACAAGAACGGCGTCTAATTTGAGGTGCCCATTTTCAGAAGAATTTCAGAGAAAGTGGGAGACAGGTAGAGAAAGGCAACAGAGATGATTGGAGAGTTTAATAAAATCTAGGGATGAGAACGATGAATCTGGAACCTCGGGAAGAGAAAGGTAAGGATAAACATGACAGCATCTTCAAGTACATGACAGGATGTTTCCTACCAGATCAAGACCCAGTAAGAACAACTCAGTAGTAGCATTAATCATCTAGAGAAACGATGGACTCTTTTTTCACTAGGTAAGGTAAAGATAAAGGTTCCCCTCGCACATATGTGCTAGTCGTTTCCAGCTCTTGGGGGAAGTGCTCATCTCCGTTACAAAGCCAAAGAAGAGCCAGCGCTGTCCGAAGACGTCTCCGTGGTCACGTGGCCGGCATGACTAAACACCAAAGGTGCACGGAATGCTGTTCCCTTCCCACCAAAGGTGGTCCCTATTTTTCTACTTGCATTTTTCTTACGTGCTGTTGAACTGCTAGGTTGGCAGAAGCTGGGACAAGGAACGGGAGCTCACTCCGTGACGCGGCGCTAAGGATTTGAACTACATTTTTTCACTACATACCTTCGAAAGCTGGAGAGCTATAATTTGAATTAATTTGGATTCTTGCGCCGAATGGTGGGTTGGATTTAATAGCCCTTTGGTCCCTTCCATCTCTGGCATTATGCATGATTGAAGATCTTAAACTTTGGGGGAGAGGTAATCAGATACGGCAAAGGCACAAGAGATGGCGCGTGCATCATGGCTGCCTGCCACCCCAGATGAGTAGAAGCAAACCAGGGACACTTACCAGTGATCCACGGCTACCTCTTGCACCCCGCAGCCCCGGTTTTCCTTGTTGACCCTTAGAAGTAAAAAATAAAAGAAGGAACAACATGGAGATAGCAATATCCCTTAGACTTATATACCGCTTCACAGTGCTTTACAGCCCACTCTAAGTGGTTTACAGAGTCAGCCTCTTGCCCCCATCAATCTGGGGCCTCATTTCACCCATCTTGGAAGGATCGAAGGCTGAGTCTACCTTGAGCCTGGTGGGATTCGAATTGCCAAATTGCAGGCAGCCGGCAGTCAGCAGAAGTAGCCTGCAGTACTGCACTCTAACCACTGGGCCACCAAGCCTCGTTTCAACATGCATATCTCCCCATTAGGCACAGCGATCTCAGATTCTTAACTTTTCCAATGGTTAATTAGTTCTGTCCCATCTCCACATTTGTTGGTGGTGAGTTTTGGGGGTACTCTTGTCTTCAATGTATGATAAAATATTGAAAGAAAGAAAAAAAGTATAGTCGCAGAATATCCCACTTTTCCTAGACACGTGGAACAAGCTAACTGGGAAAGATCTTGCTAAATGAGAGCGGAATTCCTCTTCGTCTCTTACTGTCTGCCCTTCCTTGGAATCTCCAATTGCTTTATCCACCAGATAGTCCCTCATCTATTGAGGTTCTTCAAAATGGACTTGCCCAGGAGCAATTGGTGTCCTTCTTTGTCTGATTTCAGATCTTTCATGACCAAGGTAGAAAACCCAACGAACCTCCAACCCCAGAAGATTGAACGTACCTCCATAATAAAAACAAATAAGTAATCAAAAATAGACATAGACTGTCAAGAGAAGCAACTGGGTGTGCCAACTTAACATCTGTAAAAGAAAAGTGCCAGCTCTGCATGCGGAAGGGGCTATTTTCTTCTACAGATGTTCTGAGGCCGTCAGTCAAGTGACACAGCAAACATCCAAGATAACCATCTCTCCAACTCAATCTGATCTGTTATGAGAAAGCCACCAAGCCATGTCCGCTTTCCAAAACATACCGGAGTGCCTTTGGATCCTTTCAGGCCTGGGGTTCCTGAGGGGCCTGGATGTCCCTGAAAAACAAGGAAAGAAACCAAAACTATATCCTTGGAGAATACCTCCTTGGAAAATAATCTTTCATAGAACACCAAGACTGAGCTCAATAGGACAGAAGAGCAGAGAGGTCCAACCTCAGCTCCTTCAAAAACTTGTGAACTTCAATTCCCAGAATTCCACGCTGGCAGGACAATTCTGAGAATTGAAGTCCACCAAGTGGCCAAGGCTGACGTAGAGGAAGAACAGACTTTGCTTTCCCCGCCATGCTGGAGATGGGAGAGTCACTAGGTCCTGCTGAACCTCATCAATGGACCTCCAGCACATCAGAACAGTTTTCAGAATGGCATCGCTCGTCCCCAGGAAGGAACATCAGCATAAGGTGAGAAGAAATGTGGATTCTGAAGTGCCTCCTTGGATGATGCTGTGACCTCTTACTGGAGGAGGCTCTTAAGAAGACAGGAGTAAATGCGACAACCACAGTGGCTTTCTTACAGGCAAACCTTGCTGCCCAGGTTTTCCTCGTTCTCCGTCAACTCCTTCCGGTCCCTGGAGGAAAACCAGAGAGAGAGAGAGAGAGAGAGAGAGGGAGATTGGGAGGGAGGGAGGGAGGGAGGGACGGAGGGAGAGAGAGAGAATCCAAATGAATTATTCATTCAACAATGTTTGGTCCGGAAGGAAAAATTCTCCTTGCCCTGTTATTTTCTCTCCATAGCTCAAAAATTTCAGGATCTCCTTCTTACTCCCTGTTGAAAATTTCAGCATTCAGATTTTTCCTCTCCCCTCATGTTGCAACAGGGGAAAGGATGTTAGCATCCTTGTGTCCCCAATGAAAAAGACCTCTGAGAAAAGGTACATTCACAAGACTGCATACAAACAGCAGTACGTGGAAGTTTGAAAAGAGATTGCTGTTGTCTTTTTACAAGTCTACCCTGGAGAAAATGTGTTAAAGGACAAAAACAGGATGACATTCCTCTCCTTTTTTTTTTAAAAAAAAGTTATTTTTGTAATTTATATTAGCATCGGTGTAAATGATTGGAAGGAGAAAACTTGCAAATGTGACGAGATGTCATATAACGAGCCATCATACATAAAGAGAATCCTCCATCATTCATTCATTCATTCATTCATTCATTCATTCAGTTTAATTTAATTAATTAATTGATTGATTGATTGATTGATTGATTTGATTTGATTTGTCAATCGCTTACAAGATAATAGGTATAAGTATAAAGATGAGTAAGAATACAGGAAATAGGTATGAATAAATGGGGATAATAGGAAAAGGGACGGTAGGCACGATGGTGCACTTATGCACGCCCCTTACAGACCTCTTAGGAATGGGGTGAGGTTAGTAGTGGACAGTTTAAGGTTAAAGGAGTCGGGGGGGTTAGAGGATGGAACTACAGAGTCAGGTAGGGCATTCCAGGCATTGACCCCTCTGTTGCTGAAATCGTACTTTCTGCAATCAAATTTGGAGCGGTTTACCTTGAGTTTGCATCTGTTGTGTGCTCTTGTATTGTTGTGGTTGAAGCTGAAGTAGTCACTGACTGGTAGGACATTGCAGCAGATAATTTTGTGTACTACGCTTAAGTCCAACCATAGGTGGCGTAGTTTTAACTCAAGAGTTAATTTAATTTAATTCAACTCAAGAGTTCATTCCGGGCTTCAACTCCCAGAATCCCCCAGACAGCATGCTGGCTAAGATCTCTGGGAGTTGAAGTCCACCTATTGTAGAGTGGACAAGGTTGACAAACACTGATCTAACTGTGCTTCCCTAAGAAAGGTTCAAGATCTTCACTTCATATAATGGCTGACTCAAAGCAACAGTGGCTTCTTCCTCATTTGATCCCTCTACCCTTCTGCCACCCTTCTGCTGCTGCTGAGCGATATCCAAATTATCCTTCCCTCCCAAATAGGCATCTTGGATTAAAATTCCCATCCTCCCCAGCAATCATGGTTGAACATACACGATGGGCACTACACGGAACTGACATCTTGTTGGAACAAGTAGAGTCTGCTTAGGACAGGGATCTTCAAACTTGACAGCTTTAAGATGTGTGGGCTTCAACTCCCAGAATTCCTCTTCCAGTCATGTTAGCTCAGGAATTCTGGGAGTTGAAGTCCACAAGTCTTAAGCTTGCCAAGTTTGAAGACCCTTGACTTAGGAGTTGAAGGACAGAAGACTGCAGAGAGAAGAAAGTACTGTTCCCAAGATGGTTAATTTCCTAACCAGGTATTTGGAGAAGGACTCACAGGATAACCAGGGTCTCCAGACTCCCCACGATCTCCCCTGTTGCCGGTGGGACCCTAAAAAAAGAGAGGGTGAGAAAAAGACAAAAGCCACATGTGTTCCAAATCCCTGCATCATGTTTGAAGTCATGGTGAGGATATAACTATCCATAGAAGCAGGGCCTTTTGTGTGATGGCCTCCAGTTAGTGAAGTATCTCTCAAGAGAGGTTCAGTGGGCTTCATCCCTTCTCTTCTTCCCAAGTTGAGAGGTCCATCTGACCACCACCTGTTAGGCTTTCTATCAGCTGCATGTACTGGCCCACCATTGGCCACAATACTTGAGATGGCCTTGAGAAGACCTTGGTTGTTGTGGCTTGCCGGCTGCCAGCGGAGCTGGTGGCAGACTGGGACAGTGAGGAGGTTAGGGAGGAACTTGGGCCAGTCCTGGAGTCTGGGGAAGGCTCTGATGGGTGGTCTGCATTGGAGGCGGAGATGGAGCCAGGGCCGTCTAACAGGTATAAGATGCCTTCAGAGTCGGAGATAAGTGGGGAAGAAGAACAGCTGGAGCCTGTTCCAGATGCGCCTATGCACAGAGCTGTCCGGAGAAGGGAACAACTAAGGAACAGGGGTCGACTTGAAAGAGAAGGCACAAGTGGACGGTGAATGGTCCCTCCCATAAGGAATAAATAGGAGCAAAAGGGGAGAGGTGTTGGCAGGAGACAATTAGTTCGCTTCATTATTGTGAAGATTTGCTTATCTAAGTTCGTGCCTCACAGAGATTCCTTGCCTTTTTACAGCTTTGTGACTGGAAGCTCTTGGCCTGGCAACTATCCAAGAACTGATAAGGTTTGGTCTTGCACTTAAACCTAGGATGGATTATTGCCAGGACTTTTCTGGGTGTGAATGTCAGGAATTCACATTAACCAAATAAAAAAGGTTTTTTGGGAGGGGACACAAGGAGTCTGTTTCATGCTTCTGTTCAGAACATTGATTGATCAGTAGCCCTGGACAGAACAGGTAGCTTACTCTCTCTCCGGGGGGTCCAGGGGGTCCTTCCTTCTTCCCATCATCACCTTGTTCACCCTGAAAACACAAAAGACTTGGTTCACAGGGAAAGATTGTAGTTTAACATGGAGGTAAAGAAGCACGCAGTGAGGGATACAACATCATCTACCTCCAATCTACAACACAGTATTTTCAACCGTTCCAAGGAAGCTCCACACTCCACATCCCCTGGGACTTCCTATTGGGGGAGGCCATATTGTTGGAGAAACAGGATAGATATATGGATATATAGATATATAGGTATATAGGTATATAGGGGGAGAGAGAGAGAGAGAGAGAGAGAGAGAGAGAAGCCTGGCCGTGGCTTAGCTCAAGTGTTCTGCTGTGAAAGTAAAACTGAAACTGAAACTCTTCTCCTCTGCTTGTGTTTTGCATTTGGAAGAGATTTCTTTCCAGGTGGGGAGGGGGAGTAGAACTCCTTAGCATCAGAGCGTGTTAATAATAATAATAATATAGGAAATACTAATGCTCCGGTTTCGAAGAATCCTTTCTTAGTGAGCACCTAGAAACCAAGAGGAACATATGTGCCAAATTTCAAGTTTGTAGGCTTTACGGTTCTGGAGGTGGCCAGGAGACTACAAGGACCTGACCTTGATTGGATAACTCTCCTGCTTGAGCAGGGGGCTGGACTAGAAGACCTCCAAGGTCCCTTCCACCTCTATTATTCTATGTTCTAACCGTTCGTTGAACACATCCAGGGAGGGATGCTTTTGTTCTTAGCATCTATCAGGAGCGGCCTCCTTATAATGTTCATCCACTCTTTCTTGGACTTTCATTCAAACACGATGGGAGAACTGGGGTTTTTTGGTAGGCCTCCATTCTCATCTTTGAACAGTGCTTCTCTTTTCCCCAGTTGCTGAAGCTATACATCCTCTCTTTGCTGCAAACTCTCCTCCGAGGAATTCGTTTCTAATTCCCCGTTCTTCCATGCTGAAGTCTGAATGCTGAATATTAACAGCCCCCTTGGAAATTCTGGTGCCCAATGGGAGCAGAGCTTGCTCAAATAATAAAATAAGACGTCGTAATCTCACAAACAACGGCGTCCCTGAAAAGCCGCAAACAAGGAACAAGCTCAATCCGCAAGGCCAGCTGGAGTAAAAGGACACCTCTGGTCTGGGTCCAAAAAGAATTTAAACCATAAAGCCATGTTCCAAAATATATAAGGGGAGGGGTGGGGGAGGTTGGAAACCCACATCCAACTGTAAAACTCGATGTAGCAGCTGTTTGCGAGCTCATCAACTCCAGCCGACAGGACTTCTCGTAAAACTGCAGGTTGGCAAGTAAGGGGGAAAATGTACTGAAGGTGTTTTTAGGAAAAGTAATAAAGATAGAATCCTGCACAGCTTCCTTTGGGAGGAAATTTGCCCAAGACAAGCCAGTTCTGAATACGACAAAATTCCTGGCTTGCTATTGAGACGGGGAACAATGGAGACACAGGCAGGGGGTTTGAAAACCACACCGTATAATTGTTAGAAAAATGTTATTGTGTTCCTTGCTCTCGCCTGGACCGCTTAATACTTCTTGTCGTGGTTTCTTCCTATATCATTTTTTCAAAATGAGCCTTCCGGTGAATTCATAATGGCTTAAGTGCATCCCTGGAAGAGCCAGGAATATAATAATAACAGAATTACAGAGTTGGAAGGGACCTTGTGGGTCATCTAGTCCAATTCCCCCACCCAAGCGGGAGACCCTACACCATTTCTGACAGATGGAAGTCCAATCTCTTCTTGAAAGCCTCCAGTGATGAAGCTCCCACAACTTCTGTTCCATTAGTTGGTTGTTCTCACTGTCAGAACATTTCTCCTTATTTCCAGGTTGAATATCTCCTTGCTTCCATCCATTCTTCCATGTCTGGCCTTCAGGTGCTTTGGAAAACAGCTTGACCTCTTCCTCCTCTCTGTGTCCGCCCCTCAAACACTGCTATCATGTCTCCCCTGGTCTTTCTCTTCACTAGAATAGCCACGCCTAGTTCCTGCAACCGTTCACATCCTATGTTTTAGCCTCCAATCCCTTAATCATCTTGGTTGCTCTTCTCTGCACTCTTTTTAGAGTCTCAACATCTTTTTTATAGTGTGGTGACCAAAACTGGATGCAGTATCCGGAGTAGGATGGAGCAAAAAAATGTAAGATTTGGGATCGGATCAGCACGAAGAAGGAAAGCAAGCCGTTTTCCCTCCTCCCCTCCGGAGCTGCGATGCCTATTTGTAAAAAGGCTGAAGTTCTGTCATCTCACAGAAAATAAAAATGCTTTTTGCTCCATTTGGTCTTACAATTGAAACCCAACATTCAAAACTGTGCAATGCAAATATGTAAACCAGGATCAAAATTGAGTCTGTGTGTGTCTGAAGAAGCTAAATGTAGAAGGATGGATTTGAAACGGTCTCAGCACAGATTCTGTATCAGTTCCCTACTGGCTCAAAAAATAAATTATTATTATTATTGTTGAAAAGTTAATGGGAAAATGTAAAAAAAATCCAGATCAGGAACCTGCAGTAATTATGAATGGAAAAGGAGAGGGTGAAGACAGATCCCTTCCTAATGTCCACCATCTCTGGATGGGAAGAATCGCTTTGCAATTTGGAAGAGAGAAAAATGAGATTTTCCAGCTGGGTTTCCCTTTGCTTGGCAAGGAAAGAGCTGGAAATAGACTGATCCAAGAAGAATAATCAACTACGATACACCACCAACGTGCCAGCATTGGGGAGAATCAGCCGGCCAAGAACAGACCAACTTTCGAGGACACTAAAGTTTCTAATCCCCTGACATTTCAACGCATCGAGTTCCTTATTTATGTCTTCATGAAGTTGCTCCTTGGTTCTTTTCCAAAAGGGTGTGTAGGACATTCTCTTCCTAGGGAATCTCCAGGATGGTTGATACTACAATTACAAATCAGTTGACAGCTCTCCCATCCAAGAATGACCAGATCTGACCCTGCTTAGCTTCTTCTTCTTCTTCTTCTTCTTCTTCTTCTTCTTCTTCTTCTTCTCCTCCTCCTCCTCCTCCTCCTCCTCCTCCTCCTCCTCCTCCTCCTCTTCCTCTTCCTCTTCCTCCTCCTGCCATATCTGTCATTGTACATTGGTGATTGTGTTGGCAATCCTATTTTTATCAACAGCCACACAAAAAAGTGCTGTTGAGTTTTGTCCCAGCCAGTCCCTTAGAGATTTTGAAGCCATGATGTTCTTCTTCTACCTGGACTTTTGTTTGTCTTCAATCTTTTCTTAGAGGATTAAGTGAAGGATGCCGTATTTTTCTGGGTGTCGCATCATTTGTCTGACATATTCTAACTTTCACTTTTTAATGGTTTGGATGATTTCTCTTGGCTTTCTTGTGATCGAGAGGATGATCCAGCCATAAAGGTTACAGAGATATTGTGTTATAATTTAGGTCAAAGAGAGATCCAACCTAGAACCAAGGAGAACATTTCTGACAGTGAGAATTGAACAATTAATTAGTGGAATTTATGTATTTATGGAGGAGGAGGTGGTGGTGGTGGTTGGGTTGCCACAAAGAAGAGGGGGTCAACCTATTTTCCAAAGCACCAGAGGGCAGGACAAGAAGCAATGGATGGAAACTAAGCAAGGAGAGAAGCAAGCTAGAACCAAGGAGAAAAGTTCTGACATTTAGAACAATTAATCAGTGGAACAACTTGCCTCCAGAAGTTGCGAATGCTCCAACACTGGAGGTTTTTAAGAAGAGACTGGACAGCCATTTGCCCAGGTACAGGTTCTCCTGCTTGAGAAGTGGGTTAGATTGGAGGACCTCCAAGGTCCCATCCAACCCTATTATTCTACGTTCTGTAATACCAGCCTACCTCCTTCACTCCTGATCTTCCCCTATAGCAATGGTTGGATGATGCCAGGATAGAGATTTTCAAGCTCAGAAGGTAGACTAAGAAATGACTCTCATCAAAAGATCTTTGCAATGAAGATGGACCATGTTAATTCCTTCTTTTGAACTTTCCCGTGCAACATCCATTCTGACCATTTTACCTTTTCCCCTTTAGGTCCAGGAAATCCAATGGGGCCTGGTGAGCCCGTGTGTCCCTGCAGAGGAGAAGAAAGGGAATGACAATGAAACTCCTTCCTCTGTTGAATTCTACTTTGGCCCATGGACCTTGGTGAATAGCCTTCAGCACCATGGACCTGATTTAGTCCTTTGTTCCTGGACTCCAGGATAGGTGGAACCCAGAGATAGGATCCAGCCGGTTCTCAACAGTTTGGGAGAACTGGTTGTTAACTTTCTGAGCAGTTTGGCAAACTGGTTGTTGGAAGAAATCATTAGGCTGGAGAACCAGTTGTTAAATTATCTGAATCCCACCACTGGTGGAACCTATCTCTCTCTCTCTCCCTTACTCCTCATTCTACTCCTCATTCCACTCCTCATTTACTCCTCATTCCACTCCTCATTCTAGGGATTTTCTCCAGAGGTGGAGAAAAGGGACACATATTTGAGAAGAAGCTGAGATGTCCCAAGCACAAAAAAAAACCTGAGCTCCTGGTTACCAAAAGGCAATAAAATAAGTACTACACAGACCACTTCATGGTTGCTAAAAGGTAGTCTAGTGTAGCCACAACAGTCCCAAACCATTACCTGATAGCCTTTTAATCCCATCTCTCCTTGGATACCCATTTGGCCAGGAGGTCCCTGTGAAGAAAAAACAAAGAGTCAATTCCATCCTTGCTCTTCCTAAAATTGGTTCCGTATTTTAGCTGACGGGGAAAAAACGTTCTCTCTCTAGTTCATATCTATTCACACCATTTAAAGCTTCTGGTTTGAGCCTCTGAGCATTTGTGTTCTCAAGCCCTTCCTTTGGGAAACCTTCCAGGATCTTCTCCAAACTGAATGGACCCACCTGTTCTCTCCCAAACTTGTATGTGAGAGCTTCACTATTTTCCTCTAGTTCTTACCCTGTTTCCCCCAAAATGCGACCTACCCCGAAAGTAAGTCATAGCTTGATGTTTACATGTGCGCCCAACGTAAGCCCTACCCCCCAAAATAAGCATTAATTAAGATCCCACCCACTCTAGAGTGAACAGGTAAATTAAGCTAGGGTGGGGATGAGGGATGGAAGTACCCTACTACTTACCTTTGGACAGTTGTAGCCAGGCCTTGTACACCCCGACACCTGCCTTGCCAGCCCATTTTTTTCCTGCAGCCAGCAAGGCTAACAAGGCTTTCCTGAAGGCCTCTGTAGTTGACGACAAAGCTCTGAATCGATCCGGAGCTCTGTTATCATCTGCACATGCCTCCAGGAAAGCCTTGCCGGCCACAGAAGAAGTTCCTGAAGGCCTCTGACAGCAAAAAGGAGGCCGGGGGTGACATGTGCAAGTGAGGTTAACCAGTGGATGACTTCCCTGAAAATAAGACCTGTTTTAATGGATTATAACTCAAGAGTTCATTAAAAAGTTCATTCTCACCCTAGGTCCGAGGGTACCTCTTGATCCTTTGGGGCCTTGGGTCCCTCTTGAGCCCGTAGGTCCAGGTGGGCCCGTCTCTCCAAGTTGTCCTTCATGACCTTTGCTCCCCTGAAGAAAAGCAAACACATCAGCCATTGAAACCACGCTAGTCCCCATGGTTGAACGTCTGCCTAGGCCAAGACAATACCATTAAACTGGAAAGGTTGGGAAATGTCTCCCAATAAACCAACACAAATCAATTTTAAAATATTTAGCATGTCAAGGAAAAAGCTAGTTTAGATCTCTCCTGGATAGGCTAGTTCTCTGTATGCAGAAGATCTTCCATGTTCATTGAGTTCCATCTCCCCACAATCCAGTTACGTCCATTTCTATCAACTGCAAGGTCCCCATGCTGTCAACTCAGGGTGAAAGAGACCCAACAGAAAGCAGAAGAGATTCTTGTGAGAATAAAAAAGATGGAATCACTCATACCTTAAGTCCAGCTTTGCCTTTTTCTCCTTGATGGCCAGGTTTTCCTTCTGGACCCTGAGAAAAAGAGGGACATCAAGGATCAAGGCCTTCCAAAGACAAGAGTTTTATTAGAAAGACTTTTTTATACTAGAACCCATTTCAGACCAACCTGTGTTTTTTAGATTAGTAAGATTATTTCTTAGATAACCACGGTCATCTATGGAGATTCTCAGTCGTCCAGGTCATGGTTGTCCCAAATATGCTTTTTCAAAAGGCAACTGGACTTCCTTTGTTCTTCCATTTTTTCCAGAGCTGAAGAAGCTTCTTGGATGAGAAGCAAAACGTCTTCAAAGAAAACAACCAGAAAGCCGAGTTGCCTCTTGAAAAAGCAACTTGGGGACAACCAGGATCTGAATGACTGAGAATCTCCATAGACATTAATGTCATCTTTCATATCTACAGACATACTTGGAGATAAACCTCCAAGTGGCCTCAATGACCCTCTAAAAGGATGCAAATGACCAGCTGTCTGCAAGGAGGATAAATCCTTCCATTCCCCACCATCCAGTCAGAGCTGAAGAAGCTTCTTGGATGAGAAGTGAAACATCTTCAAAGAAAAAAAACAGAAAGTCCAGTTGCCTCTTGAAAAAAAAACACCTCTGGGACTAACCACAGTCCCACTGAATTACAACCATTCTACCCTGACTCACATTTTAAAACAAAGTAATTTAATATATTTTTCCACGGTTAATTTGAGAGTTGGCAAACCAATGGGTTTTTTCCCCCCAATTTCACACTGCCCAGACATTGCAATATATATATTTTAGTAGAAAGAAATTACACAACTAGCTTATCTGATTCAGGCAGGTAAAACTTTATCGGGACTCTCTGGAGCTACTGTGCCTTTAACTAAAAGCTTTCTTCCCCACCCTTATTTATTCTCATTTTGCCCATTTGGGGATTAGTGAGAAATCCCTCTCATGTATTATTTTTATTATTGTGATTTAAGTTTATACGACAGAGAATGAGGTGGCTGAATGGAGTGAGGAAGGCCTGGAGGAACGTTATCCATGGGGTCGCGATGGGTCAGGCATGACTTCGCAACTCACAACAACAAAGCTTATATGATTTAGGATTTAAGTCAGGGATGCCACCCATCTGTTTTGCAAAGAAAATGTTGTGGTTCGCCAACAGCCTGTGCAGACAGCAGCGGAATTGGACAGGGGAAGAACGGGGACCAGTCCGGGAGTCTGGGGAGGACTCGGACGAGGGTCCTGCCTCCAATGCAGACATGGGGCCAGGACCATCTGGGAGTGGGGTGCTGACTCTGGAACCTCTGGAGTCTGGCAGCAGCAAGGCAGAGGAACCAGGGGAGCCTGTTCCCAGTGCGCATATGTGCAGAACTGCCAGAAGATGAGAGCAGTTGAAACAAAAGGGGTGACTCAGGAGTAAGTCTTGGAGGTGATTGTCCCTCCCATAAGGTATAAAGGACAGGCAAAGGTAGAGAAACCTTTGCAGGAAGCAAAGTTGTTTGTTCTGTTCAGATTAATCATTGAAGCCCTGTGTGGACTTTGTACTTTGCTTTGTTTTTTTATAGTTCATTTGCACTCTAGTTGTTGGCAGCAATTCAAAGGAGATAAAGGTGGGTGCTTATCTCGAAGGGACTATTTGGGACTCATTACCGCCTGGGAATGAATATAATTCCCAGCATTGAAATAAAACAAGAGTTCTTTTAACTAAGTGTGTGCTTAATTATGATCTCAGGAAGCCTTGGTCAGAACCGAAAGCAAAGAAGGGAACAAGATTACACAGATTCCTTCATGATCTGGGAAGTGAGAGAATAGGTCACGATTATGACCAATTTAGGCCAGCAGACATCTGCACCAAAAAAAAAAAAGAATAATCATAAAAATGGAGTGAGGGAGGAAGAGAGAGGAGGCTGCTAGGTATTTTCCCAAGGATGCGAGATGACTCATCTCCATTTCATCACTTTGAACAGGGAAGCCAAGGGCCTCTGTTTCATGATTGAGTCCTGCAGTCCTGAGGCATCGAGCCAAGGAATTGGTGGGATGGAACTCAACAGCTGCCGGAGGGTTGATGAAATAATGAATTTGTACATTCCTCCCCCCCAAAATGAGGAGCTGAATCTTTCAAGAGGGCTTTGGCATTATCCCATTGAGCAAAACCTTGCTCTATATCAGATCCCTTGATATCAGAAGAACGGATGCTGAAGAAAATCATGCTTGATTTATCTCCAGATACTTCTGTCAGGGCTGCCGGCGGATCATTGACACTAGCCTCACAATCGATACAAAAGCTACGAGTGTGCAAAGAGCCATGGAAAGATACATGCCCAGCATTACAAGAGAAGACAGAAAGGCACATGGATTAGAGAACAGATGAAAGCATACGATGCCACCAAGAGAGTAAAAGAATTGAAATGGAAACAGGCTAATCACATATCAAGAAGAATGTCAACTTGTAAAACATTCCCATGCCTGTTTCCAAGTTGCCGTAAGAAAGAGGGAGCATACGGCAAATGAATTCAGAAGCACATTCCAACCTTATCTCAAAAAGATGGTAGCTAAGTTACCAGAGCTTTTGCCAGCAAAATTCCTTAACTGGAGAACGTGATTGATGACACCCAGGCTGTGAAGGTGCTTAATTGGAGAATCTGATTTATGACACACCCAGGGGGGAGGGGGGAAACAGGGTCACAGGGGACTATAAATTATGTAGGCCAGAGTTGGCTTCATACAGGTCGCACCAGTATGTCGCTCCTAATAAATTGTTTGAAGTTTTTTGAAGTTTGGCTCGAGGCTCATGATTTAATTAGGGCGATTGCTGGAATACTGACAAAGAACTGATGGCAGGTAGACCAAGGCAGTCATAGAATGGATCCCACTCGATCAAAAACATCCAGGAAAGAGACCAAAAACAAGATGGACATCAGCAAGTATGGCGGGCCCAATTGGTGAAAGAAAGATCAAAACCGTATTGGTTGGAAACATACAGAAGAAGCTTTTGTCCTGCAATGGATACACAATGGCTAAAATGAAGATGATGACTTCAATCCAGGTGGGAGAACCTTCTTCAGTTATAGACAAGATGTGGGAGAATGGTCAGAAGCAAGACAAGAGAGGTTGTTTTAGAAGGACCCGACACAGGAACATGTTGGAATTACAAATGTAATATAGAATAGAATTCTTTATTGGCCAAGTGTGATTGGACACACAAGGAATTTGCAATAGTGGCAGATATCTGTAACTTGGGTGTAGGATGAGAGTGAAGGTTTGTTCTCTGAACATTTTGTTACCAGGAATTTGTCTCTAGTGCATAAGCTCTCAATGTATATACAAACAACAAAGTGATAAGTCATAGATCATAAATCATAAGACACAATCATAAACCATAAGGTACAAACCACAAATGATAAATCATAAGATACCAACAGGAGAAGGAGGAGGAGGAGGAGAAAAGATGAGAAGGATAATAGCAATACAGCCCTACTACATGGGTAAATATCTTTGGGCATAAGATAGTGCTGCGGGAGTTAAATGTTTAGCAGAGTGATGGCATGGGGCAAAAAACTACCTCTAGGGTAGCAAAGGTAGCAACTAGCACTGATGATGTTACCTAGTTGAGTAATAAAACATCTGCAAGCTCAGAGAACACCAAGAACCCCTCATGTCAACCTTCAGCTACAAATATTCTCCTTTATGACTGTCTGTAACATGCAATACCCTATAGCGGTAGGGGAGGTCATAAGTTAAAACAGTTTATGTCCAGGATGTGAGGGGTCTGTAGATATTTTCTCAGCCCTCTTTCTGGGTCACACAGTTATACAGGTCCTCAATGGAAGGCAGGCTGGTTGCAATTGTTTTATATTTGGATGTAACTGACACCTAAACAAAAAAAATGGACTCGTATGAAGCATCCACATTGTCATTAAATAGAGACAAGGAAGACACCCTCCAGATTTCCTGACATTTTCTATTACATTCCAGCAAGAACATCTCCTGAACCAAAGATCGTTGAAGAGAAACCTTTGTCTACACAGACAATGGCCTGAACGTCTCCAGGAAATTAGCTGAATTGGAGAGTTAGTCCCTCGATGACCTAACTATTTGTAGACTCATCAGAAACATGTTTTGTCTGCGTTCTCTCAGTCCTGGTGACTAATCCCCCATTGAAGAATTAACGATTTATAACTCCAGATCAGGGAGAAATAAATGGAATTGCTGACTGTGGGGAAAACTGATTCCTCTGTGGTCAGATGAATCCTCAAGACATTGAGCAGCCTTCCCAAACTGAGCACTCTCCAGAAGCTCCAATTCCCAAAATTCCCAGCCAACTTGACTATTTAAGCCCTAGATTACAAGATGCTCAAAGATAAGATCTCAGCAAAGTTTCTAAAAAAAGAGAATGGGCACATAGAGGAGAGACTCAGGTGGGCATCAAGAAGAAGATGGCAAACGTCCTAGAAGAACAAGATGTGCTTCTCAAAATAGAAGCCATCTCCAATGTAATGAATAAGAGGCAACTTAGATGATGGTCCCAATCAAACAGAACATTTGTAGCTCAGGGTTGACCTGTGGGGTCCTTGGTACTCTCTGAGCTTGGTGGGCTTCTTGCAGATGTTTCATGACCCAACTGGGAAACATCCATATGTAATGGAGGGGTAATGAAGCATCTGCAAGAAAACCGTCAAGCTCAGAGAGCACCAAGGATCCCAGAGATGATAAAATCCTTCTGATAAAGTCACCTAAGATTCATGAGTTTCTGGGCTGAAAAAGTCATCGAAAGGAAGGTGATCCAAGACAAGAAGGGGGACCAATCTGGGACTTCAAACATGCTTCTAGAAGACACTTAGAAGGCTGAAAGATGCCAGAGCAAATGATATACTTTGATCCTTTAATCTGATACCATCTACATGGGCAGCTGCTCACTGGTTCGCTCAATGACATAGAACGAATCTTTCCTTAGAATTTCAAGTGGGAGGGAGAATGGATTTAACAGAGATTAAGTCCCTGCCCTGAGAAAAGACACACACAATTCTGTTCAAGGTCATTCAT